TTGGAGAACCAATTGAGTCTGAGATGAATTCTGAGTTCCAACTTGCTTCTTGAATTTCTTGATTTTTTTATTGTTTGATTAGGATTTGTTATTGTTTGGTTAGGAGTTCCATGAGTCTGAGATAGAATTCAAGAATTTCCGATTGTCGCTTGTATTTTTTTAGATTAGGATTTCTTGAAGTTATGTTTTGTGGGCATTAAACACATGCATTGAACATTGACAGTAAATATTTTAACAAGTGAGGAGTGAATATGTACATGACAATGAATCAATGCATTAAAAAAGTTGTTGTGCAGTGATTACGACTAGTATTGCAGTAACGCAGAGCAATAATATCATCATAAAATGCAATATATACTTAAATAGATGTCAAATAATAAAATTATTAAATCTAAAAAAAAAAGAAAAAAAAAATCCTCAAATGAATGAGAAGAGAATTAATTTCGGCGGAAGTGCAGTGATTATTACCGGAAGTGCAGTAAAGTCATGCATTAATGTCGTGCAGTAACGACAATATAACGTGGAGTAATTTTAATTGGACAAAATCAGTGAAAAATGCACATATTTCAAATAAGGGTATTTTTGTCATTCAGCCTTTAAAAATAAACGTTTTTTTATTTTATTTTGTATTTTTAGTCATACAAAAGTCTAAAAACTAGTTAGGTCATAGGTTGGAAAACTCAGATCATTGAGTTTTAGTTATATTCTAGGAAATTTCCCCTATATTTATGAGTACAACAATGTTTAATGATGGAAAATTATCGGTCCAAGACCCGAAAGATAACCTTACTATCGATTTAGGTTCCGAAAGATAATTTCAATCAATTAGGGACCCGAAAGATCATAATCTATCGATTCAGGACCTAAAAGTTTAACACCGTTAAACTATTCCTAACGGAATATGATGTGGCGCATTACTCAGCTCGTAAGATTTATAAGAACCTCCATGTCACTCAAATTATTTCATCTCTGTAGTGTCATCATTATTACCGTCCTCACATATCTGGACAAATACATGAAACAATAAAGACCTGCCAGAAGTAGGTAACAAAGCGGATGAAAGTGTTTGTGAGTTGAAGTTCGAAGTGCCACAAACCAGTCCGTCGCCGTTGCCGGACGGCGGCAGCTTGAACCACCGCCAACTCGCTCATGCTGCAGAACGTTTCGTTTCTCGCCACGCTCACCCTCCTCTTTTTTTAGGCTCATCCTCATCCAATCCAGGAAACCTCTGCTTCATTTCCATGCTCAATCTTCCAACTTCATCTTCCTCAATCGCTTCTTTTATTCTAGTGACTAGAGAATGCAGCGAGGAGAAGCTCTTCAAAGCTTTATTTGCAGGTAAATTTTGACATTAATGTTATGAGTTTTTGCCGCTTTTGGTCCCTCGACTATCATGTCAGTGACACTTTTGGTACTTGACTTTTAATTTTTTAATTTTTAGTCCTCGACTATTGTACTAGACTACTAGAGACACTTTTAGTCCCCGACTTCAAGGTTTCCCACATTTATTCCCCTGAGTATTATCAAATTAACACTTTTAGTCATTTCATTATGATTTTGACACAATTAGCGGAGGACTAAAAATGCCACTATTATAATACTTGAAGGACCAAAAGTGTCACTTTTACGAAAGTTGAAGGACTAAATGTGGAAATTTTTAAAGACGGGTACCAAAAGTGTCTAGGGTGCAATAGTTGAGGGACTAGAAATGGAAAAATTCAAAGTCTAGTACCAAAAATGTCAATGACATAATAGTGGGGACTAAAAGTGGTAAAAACTCTTAATGTTATTAAACAATTGATGCTTTGGTGAATAATCAGTGATTGGTTGAAAGATTATCTAGGTTTTTGAGTTCTTCTTCTTTAATTTTTATGGAAATTGTGTACTACGTATACTATAAACTATGGAGCAAGAGAAAAGATCTAATTTGAAAGTACTAAAAGGTACAGAGCTAGATAAAGAGAGAGCAATTGTTTATTCTTTATAATCTTATACTCCGTATGTAATTTCTATAGAAACTGATTTTTCAGTATTAATTTTGGACTCAGATTCACAAACCCACCACCAAATCTGGATTATGTCGTCCTAATAAAATGCATCCACTTCTTAGTTTTTGTTAGAACATGGCCATCTAAATTAGATGAATACACAATAATCATAACAGGTGTTTAAAAACACCATCACCCACTTCTTAGTTTTTGTTAATAAAGATACTCCATTAATTGTAAATGTTTAGAAAAATATAATAAACAATACAAATTCAAGCCATGCTTATAAGATTCAGGCACTCCATCTACGATTTTTTGTTAGTTGCACTCACTTTCATTTGTTTGATTTGTTTGATGTGCTATAAAATGCATAGTGGTGGATTCATTTTTTTTATTTATTCAATGAGGATTTTTTTAAAATTAAGTAGTGATAATTGAAATATTCTTAGGATTCCATAAGGCCAAATATCCAACCTTTGGCATCATACTCCCTCCGTCCCTAAAAACTTTGTCAACTTTCCTTTTATGGATGTCCCATTAACTTTGCTACTTTTCATTTTAAGTAAAGGATTTGTGGTTCGAGTTAATTCTCTCTCCTCCGCAAAAATCTTAACCACACCATTTTTACTTTATTAATTCTCGTGCCGGTCAAACTTGGTAAAGTTAAGGGACGGAGGGAGTATAAGATATGCTTCCACCTTAATGATTCTCATACACATCTGTAGACATAACCATTGTGTTTCGATTTAAGTATATATTCATGTGACTAATTCACTTGTTTATTATATATATTTGCAAATTAAGTTCATACTTAATATCTCACTTCATCTTTGGGTTATAACTTTTTTTTTTTAATTTCATTCACACATCACATGTCAATTATAAATCTAAATATAGCTTAGCTTCCTTATACATAATATACATAATGTATGAGACCTTCACTATATCCTTGCTAAACAAATCCGTTGTTTGATAAATATTAGCTTGGCGGCCTTGGCCTTGGCCTATCAATAATGGTTGCAAATAATTTTTTTAGAGGTGTGAATTGATATTCGAATCCTCAAGGTCGACCCTTAAGCATTATATGTCACCACAGTACATGAAATTGTAGCAGGGTAAAAATCAACACTTTCTCATTCAAAGATATATTCTAAGAGCAAAATTTCAAAGATAAGTAAATGAAATAGTTTTTAATCCAGCTAAAAGTAAAACACCCTATTAATACTTCTAATTCACACCATATCAATACAAATCATAATGAACCATTATATCTCTAAGGTTGGTTCCAGTAATCTCTATATGAACCAATCTCGATCTTCTTCTTGCTTGACGAAAAGGGTGAGTTACTTTTGTGGAACAACTTCAACATATTTCCTGCCAAGAAAAGTATTAACATATTTCTGTTAGGGATAGTTTAACGGTGTTAAATTTTTAGGTCCTGTATTGATAGATTATGATCTTTCGGGGCCCTTATTGATTGAAATTATCTTTCGAGTCCTAAATCGATAGTAATTAAGGTCATCTTTCGGGTCTTGGACCGATAATTTTCCATGATGGTAATAATCCTCTAAGGGTGCTTCTAATTAATGAAACGGATGAAGAGCATTTAAGATCATTAGAAAGTAGAGTAGAATGTTTTAATCAAAGTGTACAAGTTATTGTGCATATAATAATAGATGTACATAATGGAAGGCTACTAACTCACATTCACAAATATAAAGTTGTTAGAAGATTAGATTAGATTAGATCAGATAAAACCATTGATCATATTCAACTTTTGAGAAATGAATTCAATATATAAAGTCTACTCCATCTATCAGGGATGGACCCGGGCCGGTTCTGGTTCGGGCCTGGGACCGGCCGGGCTTTTTTTGGAAGGAAGAACCGGAACCGGCCCGGGTAGGCAGCGGTTCTGGGCCGGGCCGGTTCAATATTTTTTTCTTTTGCTTTTCTAATTAACCCCCCCCCCCCACCCCCAAAAAACCACCCAGCCCAACCTGGGAAAAACCAAAAAAATTGAAAAAAAAAAAGAAATAGGCCCGGACTGGGCCCGGACCAGTCCTATGACCAATTACTGGGCCGGGCCGGGTACAAAGAGTACCGGTCCGGGCCGGTTCCGGGCCGGGCGGCCCGACCCGAGTCCATCCCTACCATCTATCCCTCAAAATTTTCATTTATGATTGAAAATTTAAAAAACAAAAATTATGTTGTTAAGATTATTACTTAGAAAGTAAAATAAATAATAGAGTATTAATTCCTAATTTCAAATTTCAAATTTACATTATTTGTACTGTTATTTAAGATAATTTTTGTTCTATTACTTTGACACCACTCGTATTACGCTATGGCTGGACTCGGGCCGGTTCGGGCCCGGTTCGGGCCTGGGCCCGGCCGGGCCTCGGGCCAGAAAACTAGGGCCCGGGCCCGAACCGCCGGTGGGCGGTTCCGGTTCCGGTTCCGGGCCAAACCGGGCCGGGCCGGGCCGGGCCGAACCGGCCCACTTATTTTTTTTTTTTTTTTGGTCTCCTATTTAATCCCCTACCCCTCCCCCTCAACCCCAAACCATCCCAAACCACCTCAAATGGCCCAAAATACCTAATCCAACCTAAAACTTAAAAAAATTTCAAAAAAAAAAAAAAAAATTAAAATCCGGCCCGGACCGGGCCCGAACCGGCCGGGCCGGTTCACCAAAACCTGGGCCCGGGCCCGAACCGCCCAGCAGCCGGGCCGGGCCGAACCGAACCGGTGGACCCACCGGGCCCCGGGCCGGGCCGGGCCTAACAGTAACCGGGCCGGGCCGGTTCCGGGCCGGGCCGCCCGGCCCGAGTCCAGCACTATATTACGCCTTAGCTCCTCCTAATTTTCTTTTCCAGTAGTGCATGTCATACATAAAAGAAGTCGACACCCTCATTCCTGAGATGAATGAGGATCTAAATTAAATTTAGATCACACACCGATGAAAAGAGATGATGTTTCATTGCAAGTATTTACTTAGAGTTGAACTCAGTATCTCTCTTTTACAACATCCTCTCCCTACAAGGTCAACTATGCCCCGAAGAGGATGATAGACATGAATTTTTAAAATAGTGAGAATACCAAATTAATTAGGAGTGCTTTTCATGTACAAATAATAGAGTGCTTAATAGAGCTATGCCACATGATTATATACATGAGAATACCAAATACAGATGAGGATGATACACAAACATCATTAAACTATTTAATAAAACATCAAGACTTAAATACGTTAATAATAACATTCTCAGTGACAATGAGTGTTCCTAAGAACCATATCCGAAATGAAGAATCACTTTCCATGAAGAATTGCTCCGACAACAGCCTCAACTAGCTTCTTCCTTAACTCGCTCAAACATACTCGGTCCCTTAATTTCATCAACTGGTGTGTTCTTATCAACTTTACCACTCCTTCCATGGGTTTCCTTGACATGGTGAAACTCTTTCTTAGCTTTGTCAATGATGTTTGGGCATTTTCCTTCTTTCTCACCATGGTAAAAAATTGAAAAAAATAAAACAAAGAGATAACAGATAAGTTACTATGGCATGTTAGATTTAACATTAAATCTTAACTTTTAAGTCTTTCTTTTACCAAATCTATAAACTGCATACATATAGCATGCTAAATTTAGAATTTGAAACAAAAAGTTTATCTTTTTACGAAATTTAAAAACTGCATGCATATTGAATCATCTTAAAATCTGTACATAAGCATGAAACATGTAATAAAACATCAAGAGTTGATTAAGAGAAATAACATTCTCATTGACAATATGAGAGTGTTCCAAGAACCATATCCGAAATAAAGAATCACTTGCCACGAAGAATTGCATTGACAACCGCCTCAATTTCTTCCTTAGCACGCTCAAACACATTTGGTCCCTTGATTTCATCAACTGGTGTGTTCTCATCAATTTCTCCACTCTTTCCATGTGTTTCCTTGTCATGGTGAACCTCTTTCTTAGCTTTCTCATTGATGTTTGGACATTTTTCTGCTTTCTCACCATGATAAAAAATAGCAAAAAATAAGACAGAGAGATAACAGATAAGTTATTATGGCATGTTAAGATTTAAAATTACATCTTAAACTTTAACCTTTTATTTTACCAAATCTATGAACTGCATACAAATAGCATGTTAAATTTAAAATTTGAATCATAAAGTTTATATTTTTTACCAAATTCGTGAACTGTTTACAAATTGAATCATCTTAAAATCTGTAGATACACACATGACACATGTAATAGAGAATATTGGATGAAAAATAAACTACGATTGAATCCAAAGTTTAACAGGAATTTGTACCTGAATGTTAATGGAGAAGAGAATAACAGGATTTAAGTTATTTACCAATTTTTTGAGCAGCGAACGAATTGACTTCTTAACAAATTTGTAGGACACCCACCCAGATCAATTCAACTTCGAAACATGAAGTGCAAAAGAACATTAATCTTTTCATTTTTCACGATCAACGGATCAATTGAAAAGGTGAAGTAAATAATTTTGCGGAAGCTTTCTTTCATTATGCAGCGAGGGGTTACATATATACACGTATAGGTACCATATGACCGCCTAAAATTGTGGATCTACTAAAGAATAGGATCTGCTATCCCACTACAACAACATGTACAATTTAAATATACAATGGACTCTTAAGAGATAGAGCAAGCAACGGAAGATCCTTCTGGAGCCTTGAGTCCGTCTTACGCACGTGTGCATGCACTACGTATAATAATAACATGCAACACCCCCCCTCAAGATGGAGTGTGGAGGTCTTGAACACCCATCTTGGATAATAAATATTTAAATTGTTGCTGTCCAAGTGCCTTAGTAAAAATATCTGCTAATTGCTCCGAAGAACTACGATGAGATGTAACAATGGTACCCGCCTGAATGTGATTGCGTATAAAGTGGCAATCAATTTCAATATGCTTGGTACGTTCATGGAACACAGGATTAGAAGCAATGTGGAGTGCTGCCTGATTATCACAGAACACAGTCATGGGTGAATTATGAGAAACAGCAAGAGAAGATAACAGACTCTTGAGCCACACAAGCTCACAAGCTAGGGATGCCATAGAACGATATTCGGCTTCTGCTGAGGATCGGGAGACGGTTGTTTGTTTCTTAGTGCGCCAAGAGATAGGAGAACCACCAAGGAGAACAAAGTAGCCAGTGACAGACCGCCGGGTGATAGGACAACTAGCCCAGTCTGCATCACAAAAACCTGACAAAGAGAGGGAAGATGCTCGGCTAAGAAAAACACCTTGTCCAGGACTTCCTTTAAGATAACGTAACACTCGGAGCACAGCTTCCCAATGGGCTATACGTGGCTGCTGCATAAACTGAGAAAGAATATGAACGGCATAACAAATATCTGGACGAGTTAAAGTGAGATAGATAAGTTTGCCAACAAGACGCCGATATTGCTCAGGATTCGAATAAAGAGGTCCTTCATCAGTCTGCAATCCATGATTTTGAATCATGGGAAAAGAAGCGGGCTTGGCGGCGAGCAAACCTGTTTCAGTAAGAATATCCAGAACATACTTGCGCTGACATAAGAAGATGCCAGTATTATTGCGAGCTACCTCAATACCAAGAAAATATTTAATAAAGCCCAAGTCCTTGACAGGAAAATGCCGTCCCAAGAAAAGTTTAAAGTCAGCAATTAAGGAGGGATCATTACCGGTGATGAGTAAATCATCCACATAGATTAAGATGCACAATATTTTATCACTGCGACGGTAAGTAAATAAGGAGTAGTCTGCATAGGATTGGCAGAAACCGAAGGATTTAAGAGCATGAGTAAGCTTGGAAAACCAACAACGCGGTGCCTGACGAAGCCCATAAAGGGATTTGAGCAACTTACAGACATGACCTGGACGTGAGGAAGAATAGCCGGGCGGAAAATGCATATAAACCTCCTCATGCAAATCTCCGTGCAAGAAGGCATTATCAACGTCCATCTGATGAATCTCCCAGTCGCGAACCGCAGCCACAGCAAGAATGGTGCGAACCGTCACCATTTTGGCAACGGGTGCAAATGTTTCATCATAATCTACTCCTTGTACCTGTCGGTTTCCACAAACAACAAGTCGCGCTTTATAGCGCTCAACAGAACCATCACTTTTATATTTTATTTTGTAAACCCATTTGCAATAAATGGGTTTCTTTCCGGGGGGTAAGGGTAAAACCTGCCACGTTCCATTTGTTTCAAGAGCATTGATCTCTCGCTGCATTGCCTCACGCCATTGAGGATCCTTGACCGCCTCCTTATAGGACTGAGGTTCACGATTAATGCTAATAGCCGCGAGAAAACCTCGATGCTGCACAGAAAATCGATCATAATTTACATAATCAGATAAGGGATATGGAGTACCTGGAGGATCCGGCGAAGTAGAGGTAAGAACCGGGGGGGTTGCTATATTCATAGTATGTGCATGGACGTCATAATCAATGTGCCACTCAGGAGGTCTTCTGGTGCGTTGACTGCGGCGAACAGGAGGTGCCCCATTATCTCCAGGAGTTGACAACATGTGATTGGGAGGTGTTTGGTCAGTGGAGTCTGCGTGTTCCTCATCTTCCTGGAAAGAGGCAGTCGTGAATTCGGAATCATGAAGGGCCCCAGTATTGGGCTGCGAATCGGACAGAGTACCATGCATATCATTATGCATATCCCAGGTGGCCAGATGCTGCTGATTCATCTCGGCATTCTCTACGTGCTGCATGGGAAGAGAGGCACTTGGAGCTATGGGATCTTCACGTATTTTAGACGCAAATGGCATAATATTTTCAAAGAAACGGACATCGCGGCTGACGAAATGTTTTCGTAATGTCAAGTCGTATACCTTCCACCCCTTTTGTGTGTAGGCATATCCCAGAAAAACACACTTATGGCCACGAGGAGCAAACTTATCTCTGGAACGATCCTTAAAATAAGCATAGCACAAGCATCCAAAAACACGTAGTTGAGTGTAATTTGGAAGTCGTCCATATAACAATTCAAAAGGCGTTTTGTTATTAATGACCCGGGAGGGTAGACGATTAATTAAATAGCCAGCAGCTAAAATGCACTCTCCCCAAAATTGTATGGGTAAATTAGCATGAAAACGGAGTGCTCGGGCAATTTCAAGAATTTGTCTGTGTTTCCTCTCAACCCGTCCATTTTGTTGTGGTGTGTACACACAAGTAGTTTGAAAAATTATGCCTTGTTCCAAAAAATAATTTTTCAATCCACTAAATTCAGTGCCATTATCGCTCCTCACTATACGAACTTCTTTATTAAATTGTCTCTTGACCATAGTAAGGAATCGTTTAAACACAACTCCCACTTCACTTTTATCACGTAATAAATGTACCCATACAGCTCTAGAATAATCATCAACAATTGTGAGAAAGTAACGAGCACCACAAGAAGCCGGAAAACGATACGGACCCCACACGTCACAATGTATTAATTCAAAACTATCAACAGCTCTAGCAGCACTTATTTCAAACACATTTCTCGTTTGTTTGGCACGTAAACACGCATCACAAACTTTATTATGCAAAGGATTACCGGAAACTACATTACTTGAGCTAGAAATAATACTTTCTACCGAAGCTGATGGGTGCCCCAAACGTGCATGCCATAGGTTTCTGGACTCCACTATTCCCACTGCATTAGCCATCAATTCTTCTATACTGTGAAAATAGTAGACCCCCCCATGTCTTTTACCCACTCCAATCGGCATCCTCGTAAGCAGGTCCTGTATCACACAAATCTGATTAGTAAAATATAAAACGCATTTCATGTCATCAATTAAACGTGCCAATGATATAAGATTGCATGTAAGGCCCGGAACAAAAAGCACATTTTCCAGGATAATTTTAGGACTAAGTCGAACTTGTCCCACATAAGTTGCAGATGTCACGTCTCCATTCGGTAATGTTACTGGAACAGGGGATATTATGTCCTTCGAGAGAAAACAATCCTTACTCCCGGTCATGTGGTATGAGGCCCCTGAATCAAGCAACCAATGAAGTTGATTGGAAATACCTGTAAGTTTTTCATTCGTAGAGGAAAGCTTACAATTCTCCATCAACTGCATAAAACCCTTCCATTGTTCAGCAGTAAATAATGGAGTCACTCGGGAGGCAGTAGGTTCCTCATGTGAACTTCCAATAGGTCCTTGCTTGTCTTCATGGTCCTGGGCTTGCACGGCATTTGCGACAACCTTCCCTCGGCCTCTCCCGGTGCCACGCCCACGTGCTCCTCGCCCTTTGCCTGGATTATCATACCACCAGTCGGGGTAATTTCCCGTCCTCTTGAAGCAGTTTTCAAAGGTATGACCACCCTTCTTGCAAAAAGCGCACAAATCTTGACGGTTTCCCCCTGTACTTCCAGTTGGTCCCTTTACGGCAAAGGCTACGGCTTCGCTTGGTTCTTCTCGTCCGCGCATGATACTGCGGTGTCGCTCCTCCTGTGTCATGATTTGATACAGTCTGGACAGTGCCGGCAATTCATCTTGACTGAGAATGTTGGAACGTAATGTCCCAAAAGTCTCATGATCAAGCCCAAGAAGGAAATCATTAGCTTTCTCCAACTCAATTTCCTTACGAAACTCCTTCTCCAAATCACATTCACACCTTTTACATGAGCATTTCGGTATCACCCGGTAACCATCATATTCTTCCCACAAACTTGTCAGCCGCCCAAAATATTGTGCAATTGATTCTCCACCTTGCCGGCAGCTTCGGATTGAGTTCTTGAGTTCGTAAATCCTCATGGTATCTCCTACTGCAAATCTGGCCTTAAGATCATCCCACAAGTCACACGCATTGTTCATATATGTGACGTTTGTTCGTAAATTAGGATCGATTGCCGTCATGATCCAACCCACGAGCATTGAGTTGACCGTAACCCAATCCTCAATATCCTCCATTCGTTCGGTCGGTTGCTTGATACTCTTATCAATAAATCCGTTTTTCCGTTTGGCACGGAAAGCATTGGTCATGGCCGTAGCCCATTCGCGATAATTGGTTTCTCCCTTGAGAAGAAAACCACAGATATTAACACCCGGAAAATCCGAGGGTGACAAATAATAAGGTGAGGAAGGGTCATTAATCTTCCTTCGGGTCGGTTCGCCAGAGTTGGTATTCATCGTGATATGAGCAGAGTATTATGGCTCTGATACCAAATTGAAAAGGTGAAGTAAATAATTTTGCGGAAGCTTTCTTTCATTATGCATCAAAGGATTACATATATACACGTATAGGTACCATATGACCGCCTAAAATTGTGGATCTACTAAAGAATAGGATCTGCTATCCCACTACAACAACATGTACAATTTAAATATACAATGGACTCTTAAGAGATAGAGCAAGCAACGGAAGATCCTTCTGGAGCCTTGAGTCCGTCTTACGCACGTGTGCATGCACTACGTATAATAATAACATGCAACAGGATCGTTCTCCCAAGACTAGTTTACAAAAAATCCCTAGGTTTTAATTTTCCATTCGAAATCATATTAGACCATTAGTGCAAGTTTATTGCAAGATCGAAATATAATCCGAGATGAGTAATCAAACCTAAAATCTGGAAAATAATTGAGAAAACCTACTCAAAGCCGATAGCTAACGATCGGAATTTGTAAATCTGTACCTGAACGTGCAGATTCCGCCATGACAGTCTGATACTCTGATGGATGAGCGAGCCAAGGCGATCCTTTGCTAAGTGGGAAGGCAAAAGGTCGTGAAGAAACGGGAAATGAAATATTTAGTGGGCCTTAATCTGGATTTCATTAGGTCGGGTACCGACTTGACTGGGTATTTCAATTCAATACAAACATTTGACTTTTAATGGGCTTAAAAGATTGTTCTCATTGGGCCTTGAAGCTAGACGGCTACGGCTAGCATTTTTTGGGCGAAAAAAAAAAACCTAACATTAATCAATCAAATCGTTTGCTAACATTAGGATGTTTTCTGTCCCAGACCAGACCAGATCATACTTAAACAGACCAGACTTAAACAGACCAGACCAGACTTGGATAGTTATAAAATACACAGAGATCAGACGTTTACCAGACTAGACAGACCAGTTCAGACCAGATTAGACCAGACTTAAACAGACCAGACCAGATCTGACCAGACCAGACCAGCAAATTTCAGTCCAAACGAAAACATCCTTAATCGAAATATTGTACCAAGTGAAAAATTAAATCCAAACTGAAATGGCATGAGCATGGCCCGAAAGTCGATACCCGGATGTGAGTATGTGACTCAATTTAACAATGTTGTGGAGGTTAAAAAACTATTCAAATGGAACTAAATTGAACTTATATTATTATTTCTTTAAATATTTTGATTTTCCCTAGAATAAGGATTGTAGTCAAGTTTAGTCAAGATTTAGAAGTTAAAAGATGTTTTCATATGTTACTCAGTGTTATAATAACGATAATAGTGATAATATTTATTGTATGCAACAACAATAAGAATATAAACCTAAAGTTTAATAGCATGGTTGTTGACTTGTTGTATAATATTTTATACGTAGTACAAGATTTAGATAGAGAGATAAACTAGATAGATAAAAGTGCTCGAAGTATTATGAATAATTAATGATGATACCCCTCTACAATATATAAGACTATACCTCATACTCCATTCGTTCTTTAATATTAGTCCTCTTAGACTTTGGCACGAGTTTTAAGAGAAAAGTAGTAGGAGTAGTGTAAAAGGTGTAATGAGTAGTGAGTAAATGAAAAAGTAGGAAAAAGAAATGGGTAATGGTAATAAAAGTTGGGGTATAAAGGTATATTTAGAGCGAAAACTTTCCTTAAATGGAAAGGAGGACAGATAAAAAAAATGTAACAAAAAAGAAAGAAGGACTAATAAAAAAGAACGGAGGGATAAACATTGTCTACATCCACCAGGTCCAAGATAATATTTATTCATCAAACTCCATAATTGAACTACTTGAAACTCACATAGTGCGCTCATAGAAAGCAAAAACATAGATTTCAAATTTCATAGTAAAATCGGAGTAAAATAGTATGATACAAAAAAATATAAGTATAATTCCTTGAATATGAGTAAACTAATGTCACTTAGAATCATACTTCTCCGTATTATATTTGGGCACTACTAGAAATTAATATAACTTTGTAGTAACACAATTAACCGTATTTTCCTCGTATGACGATAATTGCTTATTGTGGAAGAAATACAATATTCCGTATTATTATTTTGAAGTATCACATTACTTTTACTTATATATTTAATAATTTCAAAATTAAAAATAGCATTTCAAAGTATGATACTTGTATACATCTCATTTATTGCAAATCAACAATATAATAAGTGAAGATAAAATTTTATAATAACAGTCACTGATTTCAAATCTCCAACTAGATATGCTCGCTTTCCAATCACCCAGTGTATCTTTTTTTTTCTTTTTTTTTTTTCCTCTAGGGGCGTCTAGGAGGGGGGGGGGGGGGGGGCTGTGAGAGTCTGGAGTAATCTAGGCTAAAACTCACTCTACGTCTCCACTGAGTTTCGAACCTAAGACCTCCAGTAAGGGAGAGTGAGTCGGCGACCAGTTGGGCTGGACCCAACTAGAGTGAGTCGTCTCCACTGAGTTTCAAACATACAACTAGAGTCTTTTAAGGTCTTTTTAAAGAATAGAGAAGCTAAAAGCTAGAGTCTTTTGTGTGCCAAACATTGCCTAAATATGGAGTATTTATTATTTGGTCCAAAGCCTTTTTATATATTCCGTAGAACATTGTGCCCAAGCTAAGGTTGAATATAGGGAGGGGATGGCGGGGTCTCGACTATATCAAGAAAAACTCCAATAATAATGTATAAAATGCATACATTTTTTAATATAAAAAATATAGGGAAAATGCTCACTTAGGACCCTCCACTATAACGGAATCGTCACATAAGGTCGTCATGTACCCAAATAAATGTCATATAAATACGTTTACTTATAAAAAGCAATCGGATCGGATGAGTCCCAACGATCCGTTGACAACCTCCTCATCCCGATTTTAGCTTACGTGTCATTATTTTTGTCTTGTATTTAAGTCAATCCTGGCCAAATATTTCATGTTAACCTTATAATCTATTTTAAAACGATAGGAAGACATACGCTAAAATCAGGATTACGAAATTGTCAACAGTTTGTTAGGACTCATATGATTGCTTTTTATAAATAGACGTAGTTATATCACAATTTATTGAGTACATGATCTTTTGTGACGATTTCATTAAGATATCATTTGATCCTTTTATCAAAAAATATAATGATATTTTAAATTTGGCCGATAAAATTTTAAAATCTCGCCCCTTAATAATAGACTTCTGGCTCCACCACCGATTCGCCATTGCATCAGTTAAGTTGTAATTTTTTTTCAAGGAAACAGATTACTCCGTATATTATATCAACGCAAATTCTCAAAGATCTTTCAAACATCGCCAAACATCCTCATGAGGCTCCACAGAGCCAAAAGGGACTCCCACTCTTTGGCTAGATATAGAATAGATCACGCATCAGTTGTAATATTTGAATTCCTGAATATTTATACGAAACATTTTAAATAAAGGTCTTCATGGATGGGGTCACATTATTCCATACACGATTACCATATGTGAAATCAATTTGATAATAATACCTAAAAGGATATATAAAATCATACTTCGTAACACATTTCATGAAATGAAATATGATCATATTGTTTTTCGTAGAGTAGAACGCATTTAAAGAGAGAAACTATACCTGATGTATTCCTTTATTAGGAAGAAATAGATTCTGATTTGGGAATAAAATATAATGAATCATATTTTTTAGTTTATTAGTTTACGTTTAACTCCTTTTTAAAGTGATTTCTTAGTTAAGAATAAATATACCCTGTGATAAATTAAATATTCAAAACAGTAATTAGCTATTGAGAAGAAAAGCTGGGTGGCTGGTTGCTGTTGTTAGAGTCAAAGTATTTATTTGTATATTTTTATAGTGCCGGTTTTCCTTAACTTTTGATTAGATCAGCTATGTATGAAAAAAGAGCATATGAATCATTCTGGGCCAGAAAATATCAGTTCCAACAACCAAGATCAAATTTTTATACACCCAACATATTTTGATTCAGATTGACAGATTCCTTAACTTTTGTGTTCAAGAACTGCTCAAGTATGTCAAGAGTTGAAGAGCCAATAAAAATGCTAGCTAGGTGGCTTGCTGGATTCAATGGGAGATCAGAGCGCCTAGCTAGATACTAATCGAGCTAAGCTAAAAAGACCCAATCAAGGTGTTAATTTAAACAGACCCTAACTGGGCGGGTTCCATGGCCAAATACAGAGGAGGAGGAGTACTTTACCACCAGCTATTAGGCATAATGTTTTTACAAAAATGGATTTAACAAAAAGTTGATGTAGTATCACACAATTATCATTAATACAAATAGGATATATGCCCGATAATCTTGATAAGGAGAATAAGGAATATTTCACTCGCTTATTTGGTTGAAATCATTCCACTGATTGCAAATCTTGTATTTATAGTAGTATAACACTATAACATATACAAAAACCCATCTCAACATGCAACAAAATCCTAAAAACTAAGGCGCGGTTTGTTTCTTGGCGGATTCGGACCAAACCGCTGCAAAATGCAGCGTTTTCATTTGTGTAAAACGGCGGATTGGAGCTCATCCGCTATTAAACAAACAGGGCCTAAGTCACTCTTTTGTGACAACTAGGTGTTGAACCACTCCGAGTAGTTTAGACAAAAAGGCATGGAATGGAAAAGAACTAGACTAATTGAAACTATGCTTCTAGCTTCATGGGCAGACTCTTTGTTAGAACATAAAAATCCTTGCAAGTATGAAACAAATAAAAATTAGCATTATCAACATTTGTCGGAGTTGTCGGTCCACGGAATGGCGAGCTATGTTTTGAAGCTTTCTGTTTACTTTTTGCCTTGACAGACTCAGTCATATTCATATAGCTTGGGGGTTGAGATGGATGATGAATCGGTGGTTGTTGCTCTATCATCATCAAAATGATATTTTGAAGTCTGATCAGACTGTGTGCACCAGGACTTTCCCACGTCTTGATTCTTTTCCCAAAACCCGTGTAGAAGATTTGTGGTTTCTCTTGATCTTCACTGACTGGTTGTGATCAAGTGGTTGGGAGAATGATCTTGTTGGTCCTGAACGTCTGGAAACGGCAGTTTCACCATCTTCAATTACTAACCAGCTAGAGTCCTGCCCCTTGTTATGATCATCCATCTTTAGAGTCACCCTCTTGTTTGTTCTTGAATATGAGGAAACTTTGGTTCTTGGTTGCTACACAATTGTATCAAGACACATCATTACATCACAGCTATGTAAAAAGAACTAAGCAGAGAAAATAAATCAAGAACCAGAATTAGAATTCAGGTTTGTTACTTTGATATGAAATAACTTCCATATTTCGAATGAGGAGAACTAAATTAAGTTTAACTACGCATTCGTATCAGGACAAAACATTAACCCAAATTTCAATCTATCGTATTATGTAGGTTTGTTAAATTTGATAGAATAAAATAATATTGATGTAGCGTCTCAAAGTGATTGATTTAAAAAAAATATAAGAGTTATTAAATGAGGCAATCAATTATTTAGGTTAGGTTAGTGGAATTAATATAAATGGTTCATGATTATGGTATTTATTAAGTGACTGCAATGTATCAACAAAACTAAAACCATGAATGATTTAATTATTGATGTGTGCTTGAAAAAATCAAAATGGCAATCAAGTAAAATAAGTAATACATTTAAAGCATTACAACATATATGAGGCTATACTTGTGTTCTCCTCGGACGCATATCCATTTCATTTATAAAACTTTTCCTTTGGTGCCTACAGATTTGAGCAACTATAGTCCTTTTACCATGTTCTCATGTCATGCATCGTACATAATATCTTTAGCATATTTACGGATGTACGTGCTTAATTTGTACACCTCCAGAATGACAAGATTTACAGTTATTTGTAAACGTGCACACCTGGCATCACATTTTGCTTCCAATATATTGCTTCCTATATATTGGTGCATAATCGTCGACCGCAACCAAATGAATCGTCATGGTGTGATTGTGCAGGATAACAATACATCATTGTAGGGGTGGGAAAACGGGTCTTGGAACCGCGGTCCGGTCCGGGTAATGGCGGTTCGGGTCCAAAACGGGCCGGTTCCATTTTTTGTTTCCATAAAACGGTCCGGGTAGGGTCGGGTAATTTTTTTTAAGGAACCGGACCGGTTCCAAAATTAAAAAATAACGGGTACCCGGCCCGGCCCGTTATATATATTGTATATTAATTTATTAATAGTTTTGTGATAATCGGTTTTGAAATAGTTTTGTTTCCTGTGCTAGAAGTAGGATTTTAAATTGAGTTGCATTAACATCCTTTTGTTTTCAAATTATTGATTAAATGTTTCATAAATATCTTATTACTTTTTATTGTTATTGAATTATTCCTGATGGAGAATATTCCTCTAGACCCATCGTAGTCCGTATATAAGGTCTTATCGAGAACTGGATATACAGAAGATAGTAACATATTCAGACAAATGATCGGAAAACACAATCAAGCCCACACCATACCTTTAATTATTTGAGTGTGACATATGTGTACTAGTGAGGAAAGTTCCTATATGCTACCCACTTGAACATATTGGGCTACTTAAGGGTTAGCTACAGGCTAAAGGAGGGGGGGGGGGGGAGACATTTTGCCTACAATCCCACTTACCATATTCCTTTCATTTCCTACTCTTCTCTTACACACATGTATTTCTTCTTCCTAGCTCATGTCTCCATTAATGGCTTCCCTAGAAGCTCCATATGCTTTGTACATGTAACCTCCCCCACCATGAATATAATAAAAGCTCCCGGCTCCCGTTGGCATGGTACCGCCCAAAAAGGCCCGTGGTTTTCACCGATTTGGTTTCCACGATAAAATACTCTGTCCGCTCTAATTTCTTTATTTACTCGATCGGGACAATTTGTTCCATCAAATGGTGCTTTCATTGAGAGCGGAGCTGAGTTGTGACTTGTACCATTTCTATCCAGTGAAGAGCAAGCGATCAAGCGACTATCACAGAATCATCACAAATTAATAGATAAGTTCATCTGATGCATCGTCACATACTACTTCAATTTTTAGATAGAACTATTTTTAAATATAAAAGTTACTCGTAATAAAAAACTGTTATTGTGTATATGATACTTCTATAATAAAAGAAATATATTATTTAATGTATTATTACGTTGCTAATAATTAATGGGATATACAAATACTATTAACATTAAACAGTTTATAGTAGTTATTAATATTTCAGAAAAATTTTATTAAAAAGAAAAAAAAAACGAAAAATATGTATGTTTAATAAATTAATACTGCGCATTGCTACTACATAGTGCATACTGGAAAAAAAAACTAATGCTGCATACTAGTATGTATAATGTATTGTTGCCGAATGTAAATATCAGTTAGTAACTCTAACTAGTAATAGTAATATTTAATTTAAACGAATAAGTTAATTAAAAGGATCTATGCATATGATATCTTATCATTCAAGGGTAGGCCACCTGAGAATTTGTATCATTGAAACATGCCACGTTTATATTATACGTGAGTGATATGTGTGGGGTATGGAAGATATTTTTCACATTTTTTATTTAAAAAAAAAAAAAAATAGAGTCCATGTTAAATGAAAAAAGAGAATGAGATCGACCCACCCAGACAAAAAGAAACCATATGCATTCTTTCTAATATACTGCGTATTACCTACGTGACTATATACTAAATGCATGAACTTTGCAGAGAGTTTCCAAAAGGAGATCATCCAAATGTTGAAGTTGTATTGCCACAGCAGACAAATCAAAATAGTTCCTGCGATGCATATCAACGCCAAAAGCCAGATGATCGGACTTCAATATCGCCGGCCTGCACCCTGCTTGTCCGGTGATTCAATCTAATAACCGCTCGGACCATCTCGCCTCAGCTGTCACAAGCCATCTCAAAATAACTGGAGATCCGTCGGTCATCAAGAGAGCTACGTTGGCCGGTTCAGATGAAACAGGCTACGTGATACTCTACATCAATTTGACATATTATAATGGTGCCATGGACCCCGCACAACAAATGAGGATTCTCAGTATGTAACAATGAAAATATTGTGCCAGGCCACCCTCTACAACAAATAAATATGAAATGAATAACTAAAACTTAGGTCGGGTCCAACCATCCTCGCAGCCTGTGATTCCGAGCTCTAGGCTCCATCACATCACACATCCGAGAATTTGGACCAACCACCATCATCCGTCTCCTCCAGGTCCACCAACCTCCCAAGGTCGACACTCAACAAGTGGCGGACGGCATGGATTGAATGTTTAATTTTCTTTATCTTCCTTTGAAAAGTCATGTTTTAATCAGGTCTATGGGAGGGCCAAACTGTCCAACGTACAAGGACACTAGGACGGGTCAACCATTGTTTATGGCACATATCTCGGCTTCCCAGGTCTGCCCTGCTCGTTAGTATACAGGACTAAGTCAACCATTCATCAATGGCACACACTTCAGCTTCTCAGGTCTGCCCTGCTCGAGTATACAGGACCAGGTCAACCATTCCAATGGCACACACCTCGCCCTACCCTATACCTTGGACGACCTTCTGTGAATGATTAAGACATGACCTATTAAAGGAAGGGAAAGGATAATTATATCATCACATGCAATCTTCCAACCTGATCTCTCACATTTCATGCATGGTGCTTTGCGCGCGCGTTATTGAAAATACAAGATTCAGAATTCTACTTTCTAGAACTGTTGAGCCTCTACTCACAGCACCAGAAAGTGGGGGACTTGTGATGGAGAATATTCCTCTAGACCCATCGTAGCCCGTATATAAGGTCTTATCGAGAACTGGATATACAGAAGATAGTAACATATTCAGACAAATGATCGGAAAACACAATCAAGCCCACACCATACCTTTAATTATTTGAGTGTGACATATGTGTACTAGTGAGGAAAGTTCCTATATGCTACCCACTTGAACATATTGGGCTACTTAAGGGTTAGCTACAGGCTAAAGGAGGGGGGGGGAGACATTTTGCCTACAATCCCACTTACCATATTCCTTTCATTTCCTACTCTTCTCTTACACACATGTATTTCTTCTTCCTAGCTCATGTCTCCATTAATGGCTTCCCTAGAAGCTCCATATGCTTTGTACATGTAACCTCCCCCACCATGAATATAATAAAAGCTCCCGGCTCCCGTTGGCATGGTACCGCCCAAAAAGGCCCGTGGTTTTCACCGATTTGGTTTCCACGATAAAATACTCTGTCCGCTCTAATTTCTTTATTTACTCGATCGGGACAATTTGTTCCATCAATTCCTTTCTATGGAATTTAATTATTTGTTAAAGATGATTTTGTTATATTTTTTTATTATATTGTTATTAAAATATATAAATTGTGTTTACCACCCACCATGTATGTGTCAACTTTGGCTAATACTAATAAATTAATATAAAAAAAGCAATCACTTTAATATGTGATGTTAGACAACATGTTTAAATACAAATGTTAGAAAATATGTATTTTGGCTATGTTGCATATTTTTGGAATTTCTTTAATTGTTTGAAACTTATATACAAGAAAATATGGAGTATTGGACTTTTCGCTTGTGTTATATATGAACCACTATGTTGTTATTTTGAAACTTGCTAATGTCCTATATTATTGATTATTGATTTTTGTAATTTCGTGAGTTTTTACTAATTTCAAGACATGAGAATAGAAACCGTAAAACCCGGACCGGACCGACCCGTTTCAAACGGGCCGGGTAATTTCCGGTTCCTATTTTGAAAATTGTAATACCCGGACCAGACTGAACCGTACAATGGAACCGGCGGTTCCATTTTATTTTGCATTACCCGCCCCGACCCGGCCCATGCCCAGCCCTACATCATTGTCTTTGCTGTGAAAGATCCATAACATCACCTTCTATATGTCATTCTTCCAAATGTTTTTTAGATAAATAAACTCATCTTACTCCCGCATCAAACCGGTGGTGCGTTCGTGACGCAAATAGTAGTTAGAGAACTTTGTCATAAGTTCTCCTGACAAGTTATTCGCGTCGGTGGCGCGAATAATCGGAAGCATCGGACATCCCTTTACAACGTTATTGAAGCTTTCGGAAACATTTGTCGTGAGAATTTCGTAACGCTGTCCATCGTAGCATAGTGTGCACATTTCATTGGGAATTTTGTCCAAATATGCCAACGTATTCTCATTTACAACCTGAATGTAAGACATATTTTCGCAAGCTGGCTGGCACTCTGGCAGTACTCCGAGGTGAGCGAATTTTACCAATGTTCTAAAGGGTCTGATGATGAAATTAGTTCATGCCCTAGTGACAAATTCTCAACTAATGATGATGAAATTTGAATTTCACCAACCATATTTTAGAAAAAGTTGGTAGATTTAAACATTTCATTAAAGTAAACTTTAGAAGAAAACATGTTCTGATTCTTCAAATATTCAGAACAAACATATTCTTATATCTTAAAAGTTATCTATGTTTACTTACCACTTGAGAAATGGCATATGACATTGCCCTCTCCCTTCTGAAAATCCCATCTTGCTTCATTTGTAACTTAGAGTTTAATTCCTCTACTGTTCCACGCCTATTACACCAGTGTTTCTGCAGCACCCAAAAACATTAAAACACCATCATACAATTAAATATTCAAGTCTTAGTCCTTTTGGCATCTTTTTTATTTACTCATTGCGGCTGAAATATATGATACAAAAACATTTCCTATCAGAAAAATTCAGCATATTTAATCATTTCAAAAAAGAACCAGGCGTGCTCTTGACAAAATAAAATGAAGGTTACGAGCGAAAGTTACCTCCGCCTGCCTGATTGGATCAATAGATGTATGAACAGGTGATTGACCAGATTGAGATCTAATTCGGGCTTGAGCTCGAACAAGAGCCTTCATAGACCTTAGTGTCCGGGCAGCTTGCTTTCTCACTTGTCTGCCACAGAAAATGGCTTGTATCCTTACTACAGCTTTCAAAGCCCTCAATGCCAGCTTTGCCTTCCATCATCATTTCAACTATCTCCATGTTAGTACTAAGCATTTAAACTTAGCTATAGAAACACAAAAAAAGATGAATCTAACTAAAGTTAACCTGATAATAACAATGGCTACATACATTATAGTGAAAGTTCAGATTTTTTGCGAGAGAAAAAAATTGGTAAAGAATTTTACTTCTTGGGTATAGTTTTAGAAGGAATTGACACTTGAGTACCATCAGACAAAAGCAAGTCTTCTTTTAATATTTAAAAAATGATTAAACTATTTCTGCCCCTAAATCTCTCATCAACTCTTCTCTCCCACACCAAAAAGTAGGCAGAGAAAAGTTACTTGGAAAAGCCTACACTAGTATACCCATGGAGGGTGGTGTTGATCACTGGCGGCCATGGTATCACTTGACAATAACATACTAAAAGTGCCACATTCAGCCATTTTTTAATATGTTTAAAAAGTAGTGACATTTTTGTTCTAAACTGATTTAATAGATCAAATTCATTTATGAACATAAAGTAGATCAAACTGATTTATAAAAAATTTGGCTTTGGAAGCAGAATGTAATGCTAAAATACCTTTTTACCCTAAAGGTTTCAAAAACTACTTACTTCACATACATCTTCTCTCCTTTTAAGGATCATCCATTATTATGTAGTCATTGTTTGAACCTAAATGATTCAACAGGTTTCGTAATCACCATCGGATAAAAAGAGGTAATAAGTTTCTCAACTAAAATAGCCGTAATCACCATCGGATCATCTGGCGGGGCTGGAGACCAGCACCCGCCCCAACCCCATTATTTGGGGAGTCCATCGGCATAACATCTTTTGCAGCATCCTCCCTAGCCTGAACCTCCCAAGTGCGTCTCCTCTTCAGCTCTACTGGCACTCCATCCTCTTCTATCTCACCTGAAATCATAGCGTTCTCCATTCCAGCCTTGGTGCTCTCTCCCGTCTCATCCGGGTCCAATTCCTGCACTGACCTCACGATACTTGATGACTGTGTGCAGGGGCGGACCGTAGTAGAGATTCAGGGGCAGTGACCCCTCCAACATTTTTTTTTTAGTGTATATATACCAAAAAATAATTTTCGCCCTTCCAAAAAATATATTTTTTAAGTTACCGTCCTCCCAAGATAAACTTCCTGGGTCCGCCCCTGACTGTGTGCCAATCCCCCAAACTTTATCATTTCATTTGAGAAAACAAAATACAAACACATTTACATTTACATTTTGACTTATGAGAACCCGAAAACGGTAAAGTAGCCGAACAATCACAAGGACTTTAATTGTCTTAAAAGAAGGCAGAGTAATGTCTAATGACTAATGTACTATCCGTTACAACCTCAAACGCTTTTAAGCTTCTTCAAAGCTTTGGATTTTCGAAATTTAAACCCTTCAAATGCCAAAAACTTCCTCTTTCTCCCACGCCGTTTCCAGGTTTCGTATTTTCATCCAGGAAACGGCGTTTTAACCTTTTGCAATGGGCGGTTCTGGAAAGTGGATCAAATCACTCATCTCCCTCAACAAAACCCATTCCGAAAGCAACGTAAGACCCCGATTTCAATTTCAACTTCAATGAGCTAAGTAGCTAACAGATGTCTCCCTCTAAAAAATTTGTTCTAAAGATGCAATTTTTACTGAGGCTTGTAGGAAGGGGGCGGCAAGAACAAGAAGTGGAAGCTATGGAGGAGTTCCTCCGGTGGACTAACGATGTCCTCTATGCCAAGCGGGAAAGGAAGGAATCTTTTCGGAAACTCAGAGGGTTCTAAATATTCTTTCATGTCCGATGGAGCTTTTGCTGCTGCCATGGCAACTCTAGTCAGAGCTCGGACTTCCTAATGGTCAAGCAAGAATGGGCTGCCATCCGTATCCAAACCTTTTTCCGGGCTTTTCTGGTGATTAAACTAGTCTTCCTCAGTTCTTCCTCTGCTCATTATAATTACTATCCTGTTGAATCATTTAGGTTCAAACAATGACTACATAATAATGGATGATCCTTAAAAGGAGAGAAGATGTATGTGAAGTAAGTAGTTTTCGAAACCTTTAGGGTAAAAAGGTATTTTAGCATTACATTCTGCTTCCAAAGCCAAATTTTTTATAAATCAGTTTGATCTACTTTATGTTCATAAATGAATTTGATCTATTAAATCAGTTTAGAACAAAAATGTCACTACTTTTTAAACATATTAAAAAATGGCTGAATGTGGCACTTTTAGTATGTTATTGTCAAGTGATACCATGGCCGCCAGTGATCAACACCACCCTCCATGGGTATACTAGTGTAGGCTTTTCCAATTAACTTTTCTCTGCCTACTTTTTGGTGTGGGAGAGAAGAGTTGATGAGAGATTTAGGGGCAGAAATAGTTTAATCATTTTTTAAATATTAAAAGAAGACTTGCTTTTGTCTGATGGTACTCAAGTGTCAATTCCTTCTAAAACTATACCCAAGAAGTAAAATTCTTTACCAATTTTTTTCTCTCGCAAAAAATCTGAACTTTCACTATAATGTATGTAGCCATTGTTATTATCAGGTTAACTTTAGTTAGATTCATCTTTTTTTGTGTTTCTATAGCTAAGTTTAAATGCTTAGTACTAACATGGAGATAGTTGAAATGATGATGGAAGGCAAAGCTGGCATTGAGGGCTTTGAAAGCTGTAGTAAGGATACAAGCCATTTTCTGTGGCAGACAAGTGAGAAAGCAAGCTGCCCGGACACTAAGGTCTATGAAGGCTCTTGTTCGAGCTCAAGCCCGAATTAGATCTCAATCTGGTCAATCACCTGTTCATACATCTATTGATCCAATCAGGCAGGCGGAGGTAACTTTCGCTCGTAACCTTCATTTTATTTTGTCAAGAGCACGCCTGGTTCTTTTTTGAAATGATTAAATATGCTGAATTTTTCTGATAGGAAATGTTTTTGTATCATATATTTCAGCCGCAATGAGTAAATAAAAAAGATGCCAAAAGGACTAAGACTTGAATATTTAATTGTATGATGGTGTTTTAATGTTTTTGGGTGCTGCAGAAACACTGGTGTAATAGGCGTGGAACAGTAGAGGAATTAAACTCTAAGTTACAAATGAAGCAAGATGGGATTTTCAGAAGGGAGAGGGCAATGTCATATGCCATTTCTCAAGTGGTAAGTAAACATAGATAACTTTTAAGATATAAGAATATGTTTGTTCTGAATATTTGAAGAATCAGAACATGTTTTCTTCTAAAGTTTACTTTAATGAAATGTTTAAATCTACCAACTTTTTCTAAAATATGGTTGGTGAAATTCAAATTTCATCATCATTAGTTGAGAATTTGTCACTAGGGCATGAACTAATTTCATCATCAGACCCTTTAGAACATTGGTAAAATTCGCTCACCTCGGAGTACTGCCAGAGTGCCAGCCAGCTTGCGAAAATATGTCTTACATTCAGGTTGTAAATGAGAATACGTTGGCATATTTGGACAAAATTCCCAATGAAATGTGCACACTATGCTACGATGGACAGCGTTACGAAATTCTCACGACAAATGTTTCCGAAAGCTTCAATAACGTTGTAAAGGGATGTCCGATGCTTCCGATTATTCGCGCCACCGACGCGAATAACTTGTCAGGAGAACTTATGACAAAGTTCTCTAACTACTATTTGCGTCACGAACGCACCACCGGTTTGATGCGGGAGTAAGATGAGTTTATTTATCTAAAAAACATTTGGAAGAATGACATATAGAAGGTGATGTTATGGATCTTTCACAGCAAAGACAATGATGTAGGGCTGGGCATGGGCCGGGTCGGGGCGGGTAATGCAAAATAAAATGGAACCGCCGGTTCCATTGTACGGTTCAGTCTGGTCCGGGTATTACAATTTTCAAAATAGGAACCGGAAATTACCCGGCCCGTTTGAAACGGGTCGGTCCGGTCCGGGTTTTACGGTTTCTATTCTCATGTCTTGAAATTAGTAAAAACTCATGAAATTACAAAAATCAATAATCAATAATATAGGACATTAGCAAGTTTCAAAATAACAACATAGTGGTTCATATATAACACAAGCGAAAAGTCCAATACTCCATATTTTCTTGTATATAAGTTTCAAACAATTAAAGAAATTCCAAAAATATGCAACATAGCCAAAATACATATTTTCTAACATTTGTATTTAAACATGTTGTCTAACATCACATATTAAAGTGATTGCTTTTTTTTATATTAATTTATTAGTATTAGCCAAAGTTGACACATACATGGTGGGTGGTAAACACAATTTATATATTTTAATAACAATATAATAAAAAAATATAACAAAATCATCTTTAACAAATAATTAAATTCCATAGAAAGGAATTGATGGAACAAATTGTCCCGATCGAGTAAATAAAGAAATTAGAGCGGACAGAGTATTTTATCGTGGAAACCAAATCGGTGAAAACCACGGGCCTTTTTGGGCGGTACCATGCCAACGGGAGCCGGGAGCTTTTATTATATTCATGGTGGGGGAGGTTACATGTACAAAGCATATGGAGCTTCTAGGGAAGCCATTAATGGAGACATGAGCTAGGAAGAAGAAATACATGTGTGTAAGAGAAGAGTAGGAAATGAAAGGAATATGGTAAGTGGGATTGTAGGCAAAATGTCTCCCCCCCCCCCTCCTTTAGCCTGTAGCTAACCCTTAAGTAGCCCAATATGTTCAAGTGGGTAGCATATAGGAACTTTCCTCACTAGTACACATATGTCACACTCAAATAATTAAAGGTATGGTGTGGGCTTGATTGTGTTTTCCGATCATTTGTCTGAATATGTTACTATCTTCTGTATATCCAGTTCTCGATAAGACCTTATATACGGGCTACGATGGGTCTAGAGGAATATTCTCCATCACAAGTCCCCCACTTTCTGGTGCTGTGAGTAGAGGCTCAACAGTTCTAGAAAGTAGAATTCTGAATCTTGTATTTTCAATAACGCGCGCGCAAAGCACCATGCATGAAATGTGAGAGATCAGGTTGGAAGATTGCATGTGATGATATAATTATCCTTTCCCTTCCTTTAATAGGTCATGTCTTAATCATTCACAGAAGGTCGTCCAAGGTATAGGGTAGGGCGAGGTGTGTGCCATTGGAATGGTTGACCTGGTCCTGTATACTCGAGCAGGGCAGACCTGAGAAGCTGAAGTGTGTGCCATTGATGAATGGTTGACTTAGTCCTGTATACTAACGAGCAGGGCAGACCTGGGAAGCCGAGATATGTGCCATAAACAATGGTTGACCCGTCCTAGTGTCCTTGTACGTTGGACAGTTTGGCCCTCCCATAGACCTGATTAAAACATGACTTTTCAAAGGAAGATAAAGAAAATTAAACATTCAATCCATGCCGTCCGCCACTTGTTGAGTGTCGACCTTGGGAGGTTGGTGGACCTGGAGGAGACGGATGATGGTGGTTGGTCCAAATTCTCGGATGTGTGATGTGATGGAGCCTAGAGCTCGGAATCACAGGCTGCGAGGATGGTTGGACCCGACCTAAGTTTTAGTTATTCATTTCATATTTATTTGTTGTAGAGGGTGGCCTGGCACAATATTTTCATTGTTACATACTGAGAATCCTCATTTGTTGTGCGGGGTCCATGGCACCATTATAATATGTCAAATTGATGTAGAGTATCACGTAGCCTGTTTCATCTGAACCGGCCAACGTAGCTCTCTTGATGACCGACGGATCTCCAGTTATTTTGAGATGGCTTGTGACAGCTGAGGCGAGATGGTCCGAGCGGTTATTAGATTGAATCACCGGACAAGCAGGGTGCAGGCCGGCGATATTGAAGTCCGATCATCTGGCTTTTGGCGTTGATATGCATCGCAGGAACTATTTTGATTTGTCTGCTGTGGCAATACAACTTCAACATTTGGATGATCTCCTTTTGGAAACTCTCTGCAAAGTTCATGCATTTAGTATATAGTCACGTAGGTAATACGCAGTATATTAGAAAGAATGCATATGGTTTCTTTTTGTCTGGGTGGGTCGATCTCATTCTCTTTTTTCATTTAACATGGACTCTATTTTTTTTTTTTTTTTAAATAAAAAATGTGAAAAATATCTTCCATACCCCACACATATCACTCACGTATAATATAAACGTGGCATGTTTCAATGATACAAATTCTCAGGTGGCCTACCCTTGAATGATAAGATATCATATGCATAGATCCTTTTAATTAACTTATTCGTTTAAATTAAATATTACTATTACTAGTTAGAGTTACTAACTGATATTTACATTCGGCAACAATACATTATACATACTAGTATGCAGCATTAGTTTTTTTTTCCAGTATGCACTATGTAGTAGCAATGCGCAGTATTAATTTATTAAACATACATATTTTTCGTTTTTTTTTTTCTTTTTAATAAAATTTTTCTGAAATATTAATAACTACTATAAACTGTTTAATGTTAATAGTATTTGTATATCCCATTAATTATTAGCAACGTAATAATACATTAAATAATATATTTCTTTTATTATAGAAGTATCATATACACAATAACAGTTTTTTATTACGAGTAACTTTTATATTTAAAAATAGTTCTATCTAAAAATTGAAGTAGTATGTGACGATGCATCAGATGAACTTATCTATTAATTTGTGATGATTCTGTGATAGTCGCTTGATCGCTTGCTCTTCACTGGATAGAAATGGTACAAGTCACAACTCAGCTCCGCTCTCAATGAAAGCACCATTTGATGGAACAAATTGTCCCGATCGAGTAAATAAAGAAATTAGAGCGGACAGAGTATTTTATCGTGGAAACCAAATCGGTGAAAACCACGGGCCTTTTTGGGCGGTACCATGCCAACGGGAGCCGGGAGCTTTTATTATATTCATGGTGGGGGAGGTTACATGTACAAAGCATATGGAGCTTCTAGGGAAGCCATTAATGGAGACATGAGCTAGGAAGAAGAAATACATGTGTGTAAGAGAAGAGTAGGAAATGAAAGGAATATGGTAAGTGGGATTGTAGGCAAAATGTCTCCCCCCCCCTCCTTTAGCCTGTAGCTAACCCTTAAGTAGCCCAATATGTTCAAGTGGGTAGCATATAGGAACTTTCCTCACTAGTACACATATGTCACACTCAAATAATTAAAGGTATGGTGTGGGCTTGATTGTGTTTTCCGATCATTTGTCTGAATATGTTACTATCTTCTGTATATCCAGTTCTCGATAAGACCTTATATACGGACTACGATGGGTCTAGAGGAATATTCTCCATCAGGAATAATTCAATAACAATAAAAAGTAATAAGATATTTATGAAACATTTAATCAATAATTTGAAAACAAAAGGATGTTAATGCAACTCAATTTAAAATCCTACTTCTAGCACAGGAAACAAAACTATTTCAAAACCGATTATCACAAAACTATTAATAAATTAATATACAATATATATAACGGGCCGGGCCGGGTACCCGTTATTTTTTAATTTTGGAACCGGTCCGGTTCCTTAAAAAAAATTACCCGACCCTACCCGGACCGTTTTATGGAAACAAAAAATGGAACCGGCCCGTTTTGGACCCGAACCGCCATTACCCGGACCGGACCGCGGTTCCAAGACCCGTTTTCCCACCCCTACAATGATGTATTGTTATCCTGCACAATCACACCATGACGATTCATTTGGTTGCGGTCGACGATTATGCACCAATATATAGGAAGCAATATATTGGAAGCAAAATGTGATGCCAGGTGTGCACGTTTACAAATAACTGTAAATCTTGTCATTCTGGAGGTGTACAAATTAAGCACGTACATCCGTAAATATGCTAAAGATATTATGTACGATGCATGACATGAGAACATGGTAAAAGGACTATAGTTGCTCAAATCTGTAGGCACCAAAGGAAAAGTTTTATAAATGAAATGGATATGCGTCCGAGGAGAACACAAGTATAGCCTCATATATGTTGTAATGCTTTAAATGTATTACTTATTTTACTTGATTGCCATTTTGATTTTTTCAAGCACACATCAATAATTAAATCATTCATGGTTTTAGTTTTGTTGATACATTGCAGTCACTTAATAAATACCATAATCATGAACCATTTATATTAATTCCACTAACCTAACCTAAATAATTGATTGCCTCATTTAATAACTCTTATATTTTTTTTTAATCAATCACTTTGAGACGCTACATCAATATTATTTTATTCTATCAAATTTAACAAACCTACATAATACGATAGATTGAAATTTGGGTTAATGTTTTGTCCTGATACGAATGCGTAGTTAAACTTAATTTAGTTCTCCTCATTCGAAATATGGAAGTTATTTCATATCAAAGTAACAAACCTGAATTCTAATTCTGGTTCTTGATTTATTTTCTCTGCTTAGTTCTTTTTACATAGCTGTGATGTAATGATGTGTCTTGATACAATTGTGTAGCAACCAAGAACCAAAGTTTCCTCATATTCAAGAACAAACAAGAGGGTGACTCTAAAGATGGATGATCATAACAAGGGGCAGGACTCTAGCTGGTTAGTAATTGAAGATGGTGAAACTGCCGTTTCCAGACGTTCAGGACCAACAAGATCATTCTCCCAACCACTTGATCACAACCAGTCAGTGAAGATCAAGAGAAACCACAAATCTTCTACACGGGTTTTGGGAAAAGAATCAAGACGTGGGAAAGTCCTGGTGCACACAGTCTGATCAGACTTCAAAATATCATTTTGATGATGATAGAGCAACAACCACCGATTCATCATCCATCTCAACCCCCAAGCTATATGAATATGACTGAGTCTGTCAAGGCAAAAAGTAAACAGAAAGCTTCAAAACATAGCTCGCCATTCCGTGGACCGACAACTCCGACAAATGCTGATAATGCTAATTTTTATTTGTTTCATACTTGCAAGGATTTTTATGTTCTAACAAAGAGTCTGCCCATGAAGCTAGAAGCATAGTTTCAATTAGTCTAGTTCTTTTCCATTCCATGCCTTTTTGTCTAAACTACTCGGAGTGGTTCAACACCTAGTTGTCACAAAAGAGTGACTTAGGCCCTGTTTGTTTAATAGCGGATGAGCTCCAATCCGCCGTTTTACACAAATGAAAACGCTGCATTTTGCAGCGGTTTGGTCCGAATCCGCCAAGAAACAAACCGCGCCTTAGTTTTTAGGATTTTGTTGCATGTTGAGATGGGTTTTTGTATATGTTATAGTGTTATACTACTATAAATACAAGATTTGCAATCAGTGGAATGATTTCAACCAAATAAGCGAGTGAAATATTCCTTATTCTCCTTATCAAGATTATCGGGCATATATCCTATTTGTATTAATGATAATTGTGTGATACTACATCAACTTTTTGTTAAATCCATTTTTGTAAAAACATTATGCCTAATAGCTGGTGGTAAAGTACTCCTCCTCCTCTGTATTTGGCCATGGAACCCGCCCAGTTAGGGTCTGTTTAAATTAACACCTTGATTGGGTCTTTTTAGCTTAGCTCGATTAGTATCTAGCTAGGCGCTCTGATCTCCCATTGAATCCAGCAAGCCACCTAGCTAGCATTTTTATTGGCTCTTCAACTCTTGACATACTTGAGCAGTTCTTGAACACAAAAGTTAAGGAATCTGTCAATCTGAATCAAAATATGTTGGGTGTATAAAAATTTGATCTTGGTTGTTGGAACTGATATTTTCTGGCCCAGAATGATTCATATGCTCTTTTTTCATACATAGCTGATCTAATCAAAAGTTAAGGAAAACCGGCACTATAAAAATATACAAATAAATACTTTGACTCTAACAACAGCAACCAGCCACCCAGCTTTTCTTCTCAATAGCTAATTACTGTTTTGAATATTTAATTTATCACAGGGTATATTTATTCTTAACTAAGAAATCACTTTAAAAAGGAGTTAAACGTAAACTAATAAACTAAAAAATATGATTCATTATATTTTATTCCCAAATCAGAATCTATTTCTTCCTAATAAAGGAATACATCAGGTATAGTTTCTCTCTTTAAATGCGTTCTACTCTACGAAAAACAATATGATCATATTTCATTTCATGAAATGTGTTACGAAGTATGATTTTATATATCCTTTTAGGTATTATTATCAAATTGATTTCACATATGGTAATCGTGTATGGAATAATGTGACCCCATCCATGAAGACCTTTATTTAAAATGTTTCGTATAAATATTCAGGAATTCAAATATTACAACTGATGCGTGATCTATTCTATATCTAGCCAAAGAGTGGGAGTCCCTTTTGGCTCTGTGGAGCCTCATGAGGATGTTTGGCGATGTTTGAAAGATCTTTGAGAATTTGCGTTGATATAATATACGGAGTAATCTGTTTCCTTGAAAAAAAATTACAACTTAACTGATGCAATGGCGAATCGGTGGTGGAGCCAGAAGTCTATTATTAAGGGGCGAGATTTTAAAATTTTATCGGCCAAATTTAAAATATCATTATATTTTTTGATAAAAGGATCAAATGATATCTTAATGAAATCGTCACAAAAGATCATGTACTCAATAAATTGTGATATATCTACGTCTATTTATAAAAAGCAATCATATGAGTCCTAACAAACTGTTGACAATTTCGTAATCCTGATTTTAGCGTATGTCTTCCTATCGTTTTAAAATAGATTATAAGGTTAACATGAAATATTTGGCCAGGATTGACTTAAATACAAGACAAAAATAATGACACGTAAGCTAAAATCGGGATGAGGAGGTTGTCAACGGATCGTTGGGACTCATCCGATCCGATTGCTTTTTATAAGTAAACGTATTTATATGACATTAATTTGGGTACATGACGACCTTATGTGACGATTCCGTTATAGTGGAGGGTCCTAAGTGAGCATTTTCCCTATATTTTTTATATTAAAAAATGTATGCATTTTATACATTATTATTGGAGTTTTTCTTGATATAGTCGAGACCCCGCCATCCCCTCCCTATATTCAACCTTAGCTTGGGCACAATGTTCTACGGAATATATAAAAAGGCTTTGGACCAAATAATAAATACTCCATATTTAGGCAATGTTTGGCACACAAAAGACTCTAGCTTTTAGCTTCTCTATTCTTTAAGAAGACCTTAAAAGACTCTAGTTGTATGTTTGACATGATATTTTTTAAGAGCTTTTCAAAAATTAAAAGATCTTTTTTGAGATGCTACCAGGTGTAGCATCTGAGAAAAGCTCGTGACTTTTAGTTTAAATTAGTCCTAACAGCTTGTATACCAAACCGAACTAAATCAAACAGTCAGCTTTTTTACCAAACAGCTATCACCTTTTCTTTTTAAGATCTTTTCAGTCACTAAAAGCTAACAGTTACTAAAAAGCTCGTAAAAGTATCTTTTTAGCTAGTTGTGCCAAACATACCCTTAATGCTATCGTTATCGTATAAGAAATGTGAATGAATCTGATGCACGCGCCAAATTTGATATAAAATTGTTTTAAAAGTGATAAAAATGCACCACATTTTATAAAAATTGTGGCGGGAAATTATATTGTTGTACAAAAGAAATACGGGATTGACAAATATTTTGACAGGAATTTGAAAAACATTCATTAGGGATTTGACAGGGATATGTCAAATCTGCGCCAAAAACACTACGACATGAGTTAATTGGCACGAAATTATTAGTAAAGTTGTGCACATCTGCGTCAATCCCATTATTATTTTAGTGTTAGTGTTGTAGGTATGTGTGTGGGTGTATAGCTAGCTAGCAATGATAGAGTGATGTATGATTGCATGCATGAACAACCAAATGATGAAATCATGGGGAGTTTGAAGTAAAGTATGTGAATGAAGTGTGATTGATTGTGAAGCCGAAACATAATTCCTTTGAAACTTGAAACCTGGCCTGGTGTTGTCGTTCTTCAATAGACTACACGTACAATGAGAAAAGAGGAAGATGGTTCGTGGGTCAGTTTTCGAAATTATGACAAACTGTACGTCAACATATATACATGCACTGCATGTATATATCCATCTCATTACATGCAAGCCATACATTCAACTTTCTCAGTCATAAACTTCCTCCTTCCTCCGTTCTTAAATAAGTGACACGGTCAACATTTTACATTTGTCGAGGCACAACTTTGACCATTAATATATATAACTCTCCATTATTAAAAAATGTAAAAAAAATCAGATTTTGAAAATATACAATGAGACAAATTTAATAATATTTTTTTAACAAAAC